GCCTCCCTGCTGCCCCCACCCGGTCCCCTCAGTGCTGGCCCGTGTCACCACGCCCACCGGGGTCCACTCGGCGCTGGCCCGTGTCACCGCGCCCACCGGGGTCCACTCGGCGCTGGCCCGTGTCACCGCGCCCACCGGGGTCCACTCGGCGCTGGCCCGTGTCACCGCGCCCACCGGGGTCCACTCGGCGCTGGCCCGTGTCACCGCGCCCACTCTGGACCCGGGGTTTTCTGTTGCGTTGGTGTTTTTTTTGAAGTGACCCAGGTAATAGCTTTGGTAATTTTATAGAGTAATTTTTCTTTTTCCATCGTAAAACTGAAAACCTACATAATCAGGCTTTTTTCTTCACATTGAAAGTAGCAGCCACCTCTCATAGAAATGAAGTAGATAAAAATTCTAATGCCGGAATTCATTTGAGAGAAAACATTTTCAAAAATACAATTCTATGGCAAGAACATTAATTGCCAGGTAAGAAAGTTGCTTATGGGAGACAAATGATTTCTGCAAACTTCGATGGTTTATTATTCAGATTCTATGATTTTAGTTTATTGTGAAATTTTGTTGCGTCGTCACCACACAGTTATGATTTTTCAGCAGAAAAAAATGTCACACCCCATCGGAAACATCGATCAGATCCCCCAGTCTGAGAGGCTCAGCTACGTAAATGTGTCGACGTATCTGGGCACAAACGTTCAGTTTGGAGTAAAGTAGTTACATGGTCTTCGTGAGGAAAACCTATTCTGTCTTATCTTTTACGTTTTCCTTTCTTCTTTATTCTCTCCTGGGCAATAAATTAATTCAACAATTGTGACAACTGCCAAGATGAATAAAATATTGACCGTGCCCGCGAGATGCCCAGCCAGCACTGCGGGGTGGGGGACCATTGCGGGCAGGATGGGACCCCCGAGTGCTGGACGCAGGCTCCGAACACAGTGACATTTGAGACAGGTCTTCAGATGCTGTCGCTGTCTTGCTGCTTTCGCCCCAAAGCCTCACCAACGTACCCGTTCCCGAGCGGAGACTGGGTTCGGGGGGACAGCTTGATGACCACTGCTGGTCACTCCTCTGTCCCCAGAGCAACCGCCCACGGTTCAGGCTGGCCTTTGAGGCCCTGGAGTCGCATGTGGCCACGGCCTCTGCTCCCCAGTTCTCACTCTTCCCGGGGCCCAGCGAGCACGGTCCAGACCAGGCCATTTGCCACCCGCAGAGTCATGCTCTTGACATTCACCCGCTGGAACAAATTCCTCATTCCCCCAGAAAGGGCTCAACTTCTCGTTCTTTAAGGACTGTCTGTCTCGTTCCCCGCCCCACGAAGCGCTGACTTCCCCGCGGCTGGAATCGGCTGTGCCCACGTGTACACCGACAGCCGTCCATCCGGCCTCGGTCACTGCCAGCCGCAGCACAGACTCACTCTGGGCAGGCGTCCGCTCCCCCGTCTGGGGCGAGACCTGTCATACATGAGAACCGAGGCCAAGGAGCTGGCCAGGAAGGTCCCTGCCCCCTGCCCCGAGTGGGCGTCCCCCTGCCGACGTCTGCCCGGGGACCGGCGGCACGCGCCAGCAGCGTGCAGGCGTTCTGGGGTGGTGTCTGTCGTACTCACCCCTTTATTAGATCCCAGCAGACAGCTGAGGCTTTCGAAACGTGTCTTGGCTAAAGGTAGGAATTCCGTGTGTACGACTCGCCTGGTGCTAACTACCCACCCAAGCATTCTGCCTCCACTGTGACGAGGACTTACTCACCAGCGAAAGGAGGGCTGCGCACGCAGAACCTCGCAGATTGGGAAGCTTCTCCCCTGTGTAATTCTGGTTTTTAGAACACTTCATCCACTGGGAAAATCCTCCTTGTTCCCATGCTCCCTTTAATTGTGTTTCTTTCTAGGAGATTAGAAAAGCTTAAAATACAATACGCGTATGTATATATGTGAGCATATATTCTACCACACGTATGTAGCGTGTATTTTACGTATGCATAAGTGTCTATGTCATACATGACTACATACATGAAATACAATATATGCCACATACGTAAGTGAATACACACACCCACACGTACACGAGCCGTCACAGTTAGATCCGCCTCCATTGGGCCAACATGTAACATTCATTCTCCTGTTATAATTCTGACACATGCAGTTCATAGGCACACCTCCATTTCTTACTCAGAATGATTTAGAAAGATTGGGGCTGGGACCTTACACATAAATAAGAATTAGCTGCTCACTGTTTGTAAATTGATACTAAATCACAAGTTTTTCTAAATATTATGAAGGCCCTCCCTATCGTCAGTTCGCACACAAAGATAAAATTCAAAGTAATAAAATCCACAGCTGTGTTTTATTTGGAGCAGGTGCGTTGCTGCAACTTACACAACCTAGACCATAGGTAAACTGTGAGCAAAATGACAGTCAGCAATCCCTGTGCTACTTTGCTTACTCGTGTGCATTCGATTGCAGGGGGTTCCTATGAACTTGGCACCGTAATAATCACAGCTTAAGCATGCTGAATTCCTCGCCAGATTAGCATGCCTTCCAAACCAGCAGGCGCCCAGACTCCGGGGTGGACGGGCGTCTCTGTGGCCACTCTCCCACCATCTTAGGGCAGTGTAGGGAGAAAAGGCAATCCTCCTCATGCTCAAACTACGCAGAAAACAGTAATTTTATTCCTGTCATTAAGTCAAAGAGCAAAATAAAATTGTTTTAGCAGCTGGAAACTCTTAGAAAGCAGAGAAAAGTAGTTAGTTTTATAGGATTCTTAGGGTTGTGACTTTTTGGAAAAATCGGTAAATATGTATAACAACCGAAGTCTCCATTTTTTTTTAAAAAGCATATTGTGCCAACCCACCCCCTTTATCTTGCAGTGGTTTTTGGGCAGTTCGCCTATTTTCAGACGGCACTGAACGACTCAGCGGAACTGTTTGACGGGGCACACCCAGAGGCCAGGCTCCTGAGCTCGCTGTCCGGGTCACATTCAGGTAAACTCACCAAGAATGGCGTCTTTACGTCAACCGAGACAGCCAGGGTGATCGGTTTTAAACTTGTCTTTTTCGTGTGTGTGCAAAGGAGAAATTTAATATCTTTGAATGTGTTCACTTGTTGAGTAAAATGTTATCTTCGGTATAAACTTTCAAAGACACTTTTATCCCATGTATAAAACTACTTGCTTTTGTCATTTTACTTAGTAAGATTATGAAAAATATAATGCCCATCTCAATAAGAAAGGGAATTAACAGGTAAAAGGGAATATCGATTGTGTGTATTTGAGGTGTATGTGTTGTGATCGTCTTTCTGGAGATAAACACGGTTAACTTTTCGGTGTAAATCATTCCAAACATTAGTCACGTGCGTATGGAGACGCACGGCGTCCACGGCGCACCCCGGGCCTGCTCACACCCACGCACACACGCGTGCACTCAGGCTCGCACGCACGCAGACTATTCGGGACTCGTACAGCACGGGACGGTCGATCCCAGTTTTTTTGTTTTTTGTTTTAAATATTTTCACTTAAAAGGACGTGTATAAGTCCGTCCCTGTCAAAATGACTGCACGCCGAATGTCACCGCCTCGGTCGTGCGTAGACGGCAGATGGACGAGAGAAGAGATGGGCAGGTGCTTCACCCCACCACCCCCCACGACGCAGCCCTTGGTGGTGGCTCGGTGGTGGCTCTGCGGCGTGGTCACCTTGTGCCGGAGCACACAGCGTCAGTTCAGATCGGTTATTCCCAGTTTGTCACCGTTTTTATAACCTAGGGTCCCAAACTTGCTACCAACGCGCGGTGACATGCCGTCTGGAAAGGCCTCAGGTGCCTCACAGTTAGGAACAGCCCTGAGCCGCGCCCCGCCCTGCCAAGCCCCGCGCCCCGCTCCCTCCCTCCC